CGACTATCATGTTTTGGGCAAATTCTTGGGCTTGCAGAACTGGCTCACACATCCGGCCTTAATCTTCCCTCTCGCTCTGCTCTCTATCATTCCTCTGGCCTATTTCATTGGGCAAGCCGTTGCCTCGATATCCGCTCAATCCTCCATGGGCTTGGGTGCTGCCATCAATGCTTTCTTCTCAACCATTGTAGAAGTATACCTCTACTGTGTCGCTCTAACTGAGGGGAAGGCTCAGCTTGTCGAGGGGAGCATCATCGGTAGTATCTTTGTTGGCATTCTGTTTCTCCCTGGCTTGTCCATGTGTTTCGGTGCACTCAAACGCAAGACTCAGCGGTTCAATGTAAAATCAGCTGGTGTGACCTCGACGATGTTATTATTTGCGGTGATTGCTGCTTTTGGTCCCACTCTCTTCTATCAGGTTTATGGCAGTGTAAGTTTCACCCTTTCTTCGCAAACGAATCCAAACTGACTGGTGCATAGCATGAGCTGAACTGCCACTCGTGTGTCAGTTCCCTCGATCCGGAGACTCGCGATTGCCGTCGCTGTTATTTCTCACAAACAGCGGCTGTCGATGACCAATTCTTCCAAAAGGCGGTACAGCCATATGCATGGATCGCCGCTGTTTTCTTGTTCCTTTCATACGGCATCGGCTTATGGTTTACTCTTAGGACCCATGCTGCTCTCATCTGGGCATCGGAGATGGAAGAAAAGAAGAATTCCCAGGCCCATGTCACCCAATCTGCGCAAGATTCATTCTACGAACCGCGCCACCTGCTGTTCCCAAATGGTCAACCCGAGGCCTCCGGTGCTGCCTCTGGGCCCAAAGATTCGATCCGCGAATCTCAGCTTTATAAGCGAATCCTAGGCCAGTCATTAAAGCATTTTGGCTTGGAAGACAATGGCTCGGGCAATTGGGAAGGTGATGGAAGTGAATCTACCGCAGACCTCAGAAGCAACTTCCCACACCTGGTGCCCCCCAATTCTAGTGGCGAGGACGGTGCCCCCATGCCGAAGTCTGTCCATAGTATGGCCAAAGAAGACAACGAGCGTTTGGTACGTCAATTCACAGAAGTGGCTGCAACAGCAGCAACAGTGGCCGCTCGGGATGCGGCTCGAAGTCGCAAGTCCAATGTCCAACACCATCAAGCTTCCGTTCGTCAAGCTAGCCGCCCTGCTCCAGAGCGACCACGAAATACCGCTGGAGAAGAGCTTGAAGATCTTGGGTTGAGTGTGGAACCCACTAATGCTAGCGGAGGACATGATGCACCCAATTGGAGCAAAGTTAAAAGCTCAGTCATTCTCCTTGGGGCAACAGTCCTCTATGCGGTGATTGCTGAGATTCTTGTCAACACGGTTGATGTTGTGCTAGAAAGCGTGGATATTGATGAGAAATTCCTCGGTATTACTCTTTTCGCGTTGGTGCCAAACACGACGGAGTTCCTGGTACGTTGGATATGAAAGGCTTTATCTGAGGCCGTTTTTCATTTTACATTGTTAACTAACACACCCAATAGAACGCCATCTCATTCGCCATGAACGGCAACATTGCATTGTCTATGGAAATCGGATCTGCCTACGCACTGCAGGTTTGTCTGTTACAGATTCCCGCTGTAGTATTCTTCAGCGCTTTCTATGGCCGCTCGCTGGACCCGTCCGAACTTGCCAGCCACTCATTCAAGTATGATCTATTTTTTGTTCACTCTATCTCCAATCAAAATGCTATGGCTAACAAACTATCTCAAACAGCCTGATATTCCCCCAGTGGGATATGATTACCGTTATTCTGTGCGTTTTCCTTCTCTCGCATGTATATGGCGAAGGAAAGAGCAACTATTTTAAGGGATCCATCCTTGTACTCACCTACCTCGTTGTTGTGCTTGGCTTCCATATGTCGGGCTATGTGAACATGGACAGCATGGGCGTGGATCGCTTTGATACCCTGGCCATAGGTGGTGCCAGCAGTTCTGACAAGTTCTACACTGTCGGCCGAACAAGAGGCGGGGTGGCCTACTAGACAAAGTGCACATATTCACTGGTGATAATGTCTTTTTCGGCACAAGCCATTCATTGACTTGTCTGAATGAATGTTGCATAGCGAGCTTCTTTTGCTTTTCGGAATTTTGTTTATATGCTTGACGTTTATAGTGTGACTTATTTTCTTGGCTTTCCTGGTGACCTAAGCTCTATAGCTTAATGCATTAGGCATGAGCATGATTTCGCAATAATTATGGGTTTGGAATTGTTATCTGAGCTTCATTTCTCGTACTCTTTATTATGCGGTAATCACTGATGCCAAATATGCCCGAACAAGATGATATATAGATGGTGACTCAAATTTCAGCACCCATATCCCATATCCTTTTTTTTTTTTTTTGGTGATTGAAGAAAAGAAAAATCGTCGTGATCATCATATCAAATATTAGGTGGACTTGGACTTCCAGGCCCCCACAGCGTCATCCACCATCCCACGGTATTTCTGTTGCTTGAAGCACTGTTCCAGAAAGACCTCGTACTTAACACCAAGTAGGGCTTTCTCGTTCTTATCTTCTGTCGGCAACACCTTCTTGCCAGGCTTGCTCATCCGATCCATGATATCCCACAGATCTTCAGTTTTGCCCTGGGAATCAGCGCTTGCAGCCTTGGCGCCGAGCATAGCAGCACCGTGACATACTGCAGCATGAATGTACCGAGGAATCAACACAGGCATGTTGCAGGCAGATGCAACGAGATGGACCAAGATGTCATTCTGGCATTGGGAGCCCGACATGAACACCGAGGTGATGCGGTGGCCTGCCTTGTTCATTGTCTCTACAATCTGCTTGGTTTGTAACGCAATGAACTCCATGGTGGCGTAGTAGTAAATGGCGAGACCATCCACAGATTTGTCACTAGTTAGGCCAAAGATGGATCCAGTCATATTGGGATCAGCAATGGGAGAGCGGTTGCCCCATAGATCACCATAGAAAAAAAAGTGGCGCCCGAGATAAGATACACATGGGGCTCCTTGGCCATGGGCCATCTCTTTGAGATGCTCGTTCAGATATTCGTAGATGTTGACATGGTATGACTCGGCAATCGAAGTAGCCTGGTTGAATGCCGGGTGGGTCTCAATTACATGCTTGAGTAATTCCCCTGTAGCAGATTGTCCGCCCTCGGCCATCCAGTATCCAGGAAGGATGGTATCCCGATATGGACCCCAAACACCATCAACAAAAACCGGGTCTGGTGACATGGCAAGGTGACAGGTCGAAGTTCCCGCGACAGCCGCAAGACGAGAGAAAGCCTCTGATCTATCAAGTTTGGGGACATCTGCGCTAGATTGACCTGCGCCTAGATCGACCTTGGATCCAACGGTACCGATCCAGCCAGCGTAAGCGTCGATCACACCACTGCCAATGGCAATACCAACCGGCAGGCCAAGCTCGGCTGCTGCCTTATCGCAGAGCGTACCAACCAATTCACCAGCGCTCAAATAATCACCGTTCTGTGTGGCAGCAAAGGTCAGTCAACTGCGTCATTTTTAATTAGGGAAAGGCTCACCACCCCGTCGACTCCGCCCATGCGCTTGAAGTTATCTTCGGTCAGGTCACCCAGACCAATGTCCTGCAAGAAATCTTCTTGCCATCCCTTGACGCTCCCATCGACACCAACAGGCACGTATCCCTGCTTACAGACTACGCTGCAGAAGCTTCGCTTTTCGTTGCCCGTAGCAATGTGCGTAAGGGCATCCCCCAGGTCATAGAACTTGCATTTGTCAAAGAGCTCCTTGGGCATGTGGTTTTTGAGCCAAAGAACCTTGGGGATCTCCATCTCAATGGACATCTTTCCGCCGACATAGCGGAGCAAGTTGTGGTTGGTAGCATTGATTTTCGCGGCTTCCTCAACCGGACGGTGATCCAGCCACAAGATCACGTTGCGGTCCGAATCGAAGTTCGGGCCTGTTACAGAGATCGGCTCGTCGGTATCATTGGAGAAAACCGACAGGGAGCAAGTGGCATCAAACCCGATACCTCGGACCGTGTCAGGGTTGATATTGTGCTGGCTAATAGCGCGCTGAACCGCGACACAAATGCAATGCCAGATATTGGAGGTAGATTGTTCCTAGAGGCTAGGTAAGACTGATTTGGCACGCAAATTTCTTGCGGATTTACCCACATAGTAACCGTGTTCTGGTTGCCAAAGACCAATGTTTTCTGATGCCAACCCCACAATATCACCTTTGGCGTCAATGATACAGGCACGGGCACTACCAGTTCCGACATCAATGCCAATATAGTGGTCGAGATGAACTGCCAGATCCTCCCGAGGGTCACTTGATGCTTTCCGGGAGCTCTGGATGGAGGCACGACGGTAGGGCAGTGAGGCCATGTTGCCGTGGGGGGGGGGTAGCTCTTTTAATCAAATTGACAGCTGTGGAGCTATAGATTGCTACTGGACCATATATTAGCGCGACGTAAAACCACCAAATATAGGCTGGTTGAAGCAGACTTACTGTTAATCTCTGTATATATTGAGATTGAGAGATGTATTTCAGAGAATTGAAAGTGAAACTCTGCGAAAGGAGAATAAAGGTATGACAATATTTAGTTTGCCCCAGCCCTGACGGAGCAGTGCTAGCCGGTACCTTCGAGGCACACCTTTGTACTTTACCGATACTTGGTGTCTCAGTCATTTTAGTACGGTGGTTGAGGTACTTTTATGTACCATACAAGGGTAAGTAAAGTACAATGTATAAATGATGTTGCTTTCGGTTTTTACAAGAATGTGTACATCAATACGGAGTACATATCCAATATATTTAATTGGTAACTTTGAATTTCAAATAATCTAATAACAAGTATCATAATATCATAAGATAAATACATATAGGTAAGTACAAGTACAGAACTGGTTAACTTACATGTATGTAATCGTGCGGGAGCTCGGACCAACTTTCTTCTACACTGATTTGACATATTGACATCTCAGCTGGTCTCCTCACTATAATTATCATCTTCATCATGCGGTTCCTACCCACCATTCTCGGTGCTATCTCACTCCTAATATCTGTCGCCAATGCCTCTCTCTCGACCGACATCCTGTGTTGGCCCTTGGATTCGCCACAACCGTCCGTCCTCGCGCGCATTTCCTACGACCCGGCCTCATTGGCATCGGACGTGGTCTCATATCACCCCCCAAAGGATGACCAGGGCGATAGTCTAGTGCGTGTTGGCCTCTACACTTCAACTCCCACAAACAAAAAACAATGGGTCGGCAGTCTCGTGTCGTTGTCATCTTTAACGGCCAGTGAACAACCAACATTTCGCCTTCACCTCGGTCCAGCCAACGAAGTCTACACTGTCTCCCTGTCTGCATCGTCCACTAATGCTCAGGGCTCAACTGGCCCTCGAATTGATCTCGTCTCGAATGAATCCGGGACTCAGCCTCACCTGAACAGGCCAGTGGTTGTTGGGCCCGATGGTCAAAACCCAGAGCAACCCGAAGAAAAGTCTCTTTTCCAGAAGTAGGTTTTGGATAGGTGTGTGTGTGTCATTTCTTTCGTGTGCTAATAGATAATCTAGGTACTGGTGGGTTCTTCTGATCATCACTTTCATCACCATGTCCGGAGGTGGCGGAGAATGAATGACATTGATCTTCGACTTTGCATTATATTATCTATATCGAAATAATACTTGGGTTGGAACTATGCTTTGCGGTTACTCCCTTGAAGATGCCCGGTGTATTTGCGGGGACATACAATGCCAACTAGGAGTCCATCCAAAAACGATGGACCTATCCGGATATTCTGCTTTACAACCACTTTCAGCTGGGAACAAGTCTAGGAACTGGTTCTTGTATATAGTACCCGTAGTTGGCGTACCTGCATGAATGAATTATGCAGTGTATGGTGTGTAGTATACAAAGTATATATAGCGACAAGGCGGAGAGCAACGTCAAAACATCGCCCTGGACAGAAGTATGAACATGTGGACTCCATGTAAATGGGCAAACACAAAGCTGAAACCGGTGAAATCGGTGAAACCGCTGCTACCTTAAATATATATATATTGTTGTCTTTCCCCAACTTAACCACTTTCTCTCTTTCTGCCTGGTCCGTCCCAAATCCAGCGTTGCTACCTAGACCCACGAGGCAGCAAAAAGTCTGTGCACCTGGCCATCACAAAGTTCTATAAATCTATGCTAAACCCCCATATTAGATCTGGCACAGATTACCACGAAGATGCTACTTCAACTTCCCACAGAGCTGATACAACTGGTTCTTCGGAACTGCGACACACCAGCCTACTTCCAAGCAGCCTTTTCAAGCCGCAGGCTTTATGAGATCGCGTCCAGCACCCGAGAAGTCATCATTCACCAGCTACATAATACTCCTGGTTGGAACGACACCATTGATGCCCATCAGACCAGACATCTGTTTGGCGAGTTAATGAGACGGTCTTACGAACAATTAGATGGCGCAGAACATTACGCCAATCCCACCTATGAGTATCAAGATAGAGTGATTGACTACCATGCATCGACAATTGCAGCATCAGAAGATGGCACTCGAGTACTGCTCGTCTTCAAAGGCCACAGTACTGTCCACCTGGTCGACATGAGCGATGGAGACCGAACTGAAGTCCAATTGAAATCCCCAGGACAGAATATCGGGGAGGTCGAGATCATCCAGACTGCCTTTGATGAAAACGGCGGAGTCTATGTGTTGCACCGATTCAAACCATTTTTAGATCAAGAGCTGGATACAGACCATCCATTTGTCAAACACGCTCTGGAGTCTCGCCTCAACGGGAGTATACACCTGGCCCACCATCACTTGAATCCCCGGGCAAACATCATTCGAATGTATGACTTTCCCGAATGCCGAGATTATAGGCCACTGGCTTTGTCTGTTGCCAACGGCAAATTTGCAATATCATGGCAAAACACGCTCGATCCCTTTGATCATGAGGTCGTTCTTTATACCCAGCTCTACGACGACGAGAACGGGGAGAATAAAGATGATTTGAGCGAAGGCGTTATGGAAGGAAGCAAGGGAGACAACTCCTGTGACATTATTCGTTCGTTTCGTTCTTCTGTCAAATTGAAGCTGGTTTCTGACATCTCTAGGTGCCGCTTTTGAGGCTTACGTTTTGACCAGCTCCAACGATCAAGACCCAGATGTCCGTTCTTCTCGGAGAATAGGCCCTGCGATGAGGTTGGCATTCAATGATCGAGGATTTCAGTTGCTCTACCATTACCGAGCTCAAAACATCTACGGTGCCTTTCAGAGACTTGATCGCCTTTCTGGCCGCCCAGGCGAACCAAAGCCGCATGTTAATAAGAATGGATGCACCGTGCAGTTTTCGCCTTCCCTATCGCTTCAATTCTCAATTGGAATACCATTTTTCGGTATCCATGAGCTCGGCGATATAACCCAGGGAGAACAGTGTCATTGGCAGTACCTCGCCTTCGGAATTGCCACCCATCGCGTGGAAAAATGGACTGTGGCATGTATCCTGAAGTCCGAATCATATACTGGCTCGCGGTGTACTCATGTTTTGAATCTCGACCGCGGAAGGCGTTTCGACAACTGGCAGATCATGGCACAACTTGGGGGATTCCGAGAAGTAACAACTTCGCATGGATCTCCGGTGGCAACTTCGCGTCGTGGAACTCGTGTTGCTGTCGCTAACTGGAAAACACTTTATGTATGGGCATTGAATCCGTCGGAATTGATAGAGGACAATGGCACCGGATTTTATCCATTATCGTGGGAATCCTCTACAGGTACCATCGAGTTGCGACCAGTCATCCTCCAGTTAGAGGCCGTTTGCTCTCAATTGCATTTCACTGAAAAGGAAGACGAGCTGGTCGCGATTACTGATCGTGGAGTGATGTTCCTGAACATCGGTTACGGTGGAAAATGCAAACAGCCCGTCAAGAGCCAGAGACATGACAATAGTATGTAACAAATCCAACGAGGAGCTTGGAACATCTGGACTTTTACCAAACTCCTGTTGCTTAGAGTGTGGTTAAAGTCATGAGGTTGGCTGCTGAATCGCAAAGACGAATCTGGGGTTATGAGCCTTCTCCAAAGCAGTAGATTATAACCGAAACGGAGTGATTTCTTGAGTACCATCAGACCAGGACGCTACCATTGTCTCATGCAAGACTACACAATAAGACCCGAGAAAATTAGCTGTGTCCATTTTTCCATGTCCCCAAAGCAAACCGAAACACCAGAAAATGCAGAACCACTAGCTGTATGACATTGTACATAGATCAAAAGAAAACCATGGCCCTGAGAATAATGCAAGGCCAGAAAGGGGTATCCCAGGGTCGTCATCATAGCAAGAGAAGAAGAAAAAGAAAAAGAAAAAGAAGAGAGTAGTCTAAGGACGTGTTCTAGTTCATCTCAGAAGCGAGCCATTCGAGCACGCTCTCATAGCAGAGTGCAAATTGACTCAGGTTCTGTACCATGCTCGGTCTTTGTCTCCGGAAATCCTCAACCGTCTTCGCAATTAGGTCAAGATTAAAATCTCCCATCCACTCGGAAGATCCGCTGGGGTTTTGATACAGGCCTCCACCACCGGCAGCCTGCGCACGTTGCCGTTTCAACATGTCCAAGACACTATCGACAGTGCAGAAGGTCCCGGTACGCCCGCAGCCCGCACTGCAATGCACTAGTACTGGTCGCAGGCCCTTCGGTTCTGCTTGCTGGCTACTAAAGCTGGGGTTGCTGGTGGCACGAATGACCTTGTTACATTGTTCAATCAGATGGAGAAGATGAGTAGGCTGAGACGTCGTCCCGAAATCGGGCCAGTAAGGATATTGGAGCTGGGTGATATCCCGAAGCGGCTCGAAGGGGAATGATGTATGGCATATACTAAAGTTTCGCACGGTGATGACTGGATTTTCGTTTGTGCCATCAGGTCGTTCGGTCGATGCCTTAGGACTGCCAACCGTGGGATCGGTAGGTCCGACCTTGGATTCGATATAGATGTGCTTTTCCGAATAGGCCTTTACCTCGAATGGTCCATATTTTCCAGACTCCCAGTATCGGTGGCATTTCACCTGTCCTCGCTCAACCTCTGCAGTGAGAGAAACGAGAAGTCTAACGTCTTGCTCCCACACCACACGCCAAAAGTCCTACATATTGTGAGTAACATAACAACAAGCATTGCGAAGGGCTACCACTCACATCAAAGGTATCAGGAACGGGAGCCTGAGTGGCAATGTATTTCCGATTGGTAAGTTCAGCGGAAATGTGATTCGCATTCACATAATCACAGGCCCCAGATGGAATTCCCTCAAGTCGGACACGGGAATGATCGAATGGGTAAATATCATTGTAACGATTCTTCGTGCCTTTTTCTATCCCCGCAACGCGATATTTCTTGGGGGCACCATTGGTGTCAGCCGAAGGTCCCTCGTATGTCAAAGCCTGTTTCATGCGTTCCAGTTCTGTTTTCTCCAAAGCCAGGAACTTGTTCGAGACAGTCTGCCCTTGGTCCTTGGTATCGGAAGCGCCCCGCAACCAGGAAGGGAGTTGCTGTCGCTTCGCTTCGGTCAACTGATCGGGCTGTTTCAGAGGAATTTGTCCCACGCCTCCGAGAAGATCCATGTTCTGTCGAATATTTCCAAAGAATGGATTGATGGCAGATGATGATTCTGGTAGGGCACAACCACCCACGACAGGAGCAACAGATTGCAGATTGATTCTCATGGGGGAGGGACGTTTAGAGGATAGTTCAGTCGTTTGCGTTTGTGGCTGCTGAATCAAATGTGGAAACCGACCCGAAAACCCTCGAAACCCGTTTTGTAAGATCAACCCATCTCCCTTCCAGTCTTCAGCTTGGAATTTATTGAGCAGGTTCAGGAGGGGTGCTGCATCCTTCAAATCCGCGGCAGCAGAATCATACACAATGATCACCTCACACTTTCTCCAGCGAGCGAAATTCTGTTTGTCGGTATCGTCCGTGAAAGTACCCTCTAATTTCTGAGTATCAAATGATCGACGCTTGAGTAGAGTGGTGGGGATACATAAATTGAGTGATCCTTTGATATTCGCCTGTCTGAAATGAGCAAATGGGCGAACATCGAATAGCATGGTGTTTGACTGAGATGATTCGAGAAGTTCGGCGCAGCGTTCGGCTGATACCCAGGGAAGTGAAGCGGAAGTAGCCCCTGAAGAAGCAATGTTAGTACATTATATAATATAATTTGTGGAAGATAGACAGTGGAACAAATCAGGAGTTATAGGATCAAAGATGGAGAAAGAAGAAAACACAACGGAAAACAAATCGAAGAGTGGTCATACCTTGTGAAATGGGCGCTGAGTTCTTGCCAGCCGGAAGCCTCAGTTCGCTGGGTTGTGCATATGAAAAACTTCCCGGATGTGAAGGTGAGGATTTTGACCATGGAGTCATCTGGGGAGAGGAAGACCCATGCAATGCTGATTCTCGGCGTAAGCGGCTGGTTTCAGGCTCGGACTTCAATAGATTCTTCAATCCCGCTGATACTGATTCTTGGGAAAACACGGGTAATTTTGAACTCGACACAGATTGTGGATGGGGTAATGTGCCCCAATTCTTTTGCATAGACAGCCCTGGGTGGGAGGTCTGTTGATTGGGGCTTTGCAC